GTTGGATATGAGATGATCATAGCCAACTCGGCGCTAAGCGCCTCTATGGCTACCTAACCATCTCATATCCAACGCACACTCGTGGAATAATTGTTAATGTGACAAATCCGAAGTTAACGTATCTAATTTAATGACCGTTTGTCAATATCAGTCGACGAGGCGTTATCGGCTCAACCTTAAGAACTTATTGCCCCTGAAACATCTAGTCATTGTACATGTCTGGTCGAGCTAACGTAAACATCATGATGCGCTTCAGGGTAATCAAACTTGTCGGGATATTTTCTTTGGTTGTTACCGCAGTCTTCCTCTATACGTTTAGCGAATTCGTTCCCGGCACATCCTCATGTTTTACAAAGCTGTTTCAGCAACGTTCAACGAAAGAAAACCATCTGTCAACAGGAAATCAAATCCAACTCATCCAAGCGAATGAGCAGTTAATTATTTTCATTACAAGCGCGCCGTTTTACACAAGCAGAAGACTATCTATACGTCAAACATGGTTGTCTCTCTTGGTCAGCAACTCTGTTGCGCGAGGACGATCTAACATACGAGCACTGATGAAAAACTCTTCAAATTCATCTAGCAACTTGGTTATCCACTACTGGTCTGTTTGCAGACATGACACAAAAGTGGACGTTGAATCCGCCATGCGGAATGAAAGCGCCGTTTACGGGGACATCTTAAGGCTGAACTACACAGAATCCTGTTCACTACTTGCCTTCAAGACAATAGGCTCTTTGTGGCTTGCTTCTGTCATGGACGTTCAGTTTATCTTCAAAGTGGACGATGACGTATATTTTCACGTTCCTAAGATGATTTGGTGGCTGAAAACGTCTTCTTTACCCGAGAAGCTATATGCTGGCCCTGTAATAAACGGGGGAAAAGTTATTAGAAATCCAAAGCATAAATGGTTCGTTAGTGAACAATTTCTGAACGACACTTTGTTCCCTCCATACTGTAACGGGCCCTTTCATATTTTATCTAAAAGCACTCTTCTCGAATTACATTACATTCGCGAATTAGAACACGCCTATATAGGAATATTGGCGAAAAGAGTTGAAACCACGCCCTTGCAGCTTTTAGGAAAACATGTCCTCATTGCCGGGCCACGGAAGAGAATTGGTTGGGAAGGCAAAAAACTTAACGATTTCTTCGCATTGGGACATTCCTTGTCCATTAAACGAATGTTCAAACTTCATGCAAGGTTCACTAACTAAAGAGAACTGACGAAAAGACAACGATTGCCTTGTTCAGTAACACATTTAAGTGTCAATGGCAAAATGTTAATGATCACCGTTAAATATGATTATTATACATTGTACTCATCATCTGTCTTCTCATTGGCTAAAAGCGTACAGTTAATTCTGGGGAGCAGCGCAACCTACAGATTATTCACTAATCTGTACCTACAGATTAGTGAATAATCTGTAGGTTGCGCGCGCAATGCATGATTTCGGCTGTAATCACTCAGTTGTACATTTTTAAGTGTTTGAAAATGAACTGTGATCGCTGCGATAATGCGTTTGTCGTTATTTTCTTCAAAACAATGTATAATAAAACAATTATTAGGTTCGGTTTTTGTGATATCCGGAATAATCAACGTCTCGGTTAGTGTTATCAGCCTCAGCCTTCGGCTTCGGCTGATAACACTTACCTCGACCTTGATCATTCCGGATATCACAAAAACCTCATCCAATAATTGTTTATAACATGATTTAGAGTAGTACAAAAAATACAAGCATGTGCTGCTTTCTAATTTTCAATATCGTCATGGGCTCCTGAATGGGTAGATATTTCTTAAATTAGTTTTGCTCGTTTATTGAGAACCTGAATTGAACTTGTAATTATTTCCATGCGGTTTTCATGTAACTTATCAAACCTAGCGTATTGTTCGTCTTGAAATGCAGGCATTCGTTCATTCGTTCAAATAAAGGAAACTAACACGAAAAAGAGGATAACATTTCAAAAAGAATGAAATAAACGTGACGGACAGAAAGAGGCAAAACTTTCTGTGAAAACAGGAGGGAATTTAAACGTAAAACCCAAACTGCAAACAATGTTCGTGCTACTTTCCCTTTAAACATAGAGCCGGTGAATACCCAATAACAGCCAGTTTGTTCAGGGGCACCCAACGACAATTTTCGGAAAATATCTCTTTGGAAGACGATTTGAGATCTAGAATTTTCGGAACATTTGTTGTAAAACTTCTTCCTTGCCTGCCTCTCCTAGGATTTTCGAACATCAAAAAAATGGTATAACTGCCCATTTTTAACGGATTTTTACCCTTAAAAGGTCACCTAGAATTTTCGGAGCCTTTTTTTCTGGCTGAAATTTTCGAAAAGGTAAGTGTTAAGAATCGAAAAATTGTAATTATTTAGCCGTTCAATGATTAACTAGTTGTCTAGGTGATTTTCGTGAATTTACCGCTTAGTTGTATCGCGGGCGCATTTTGACACGTGTGAGACGAAGGAATACACTTTGCTGTTCATTCTAACGTGACATTAAAAGGTGGAATCTATTGCTCTGTGTGAAGATCCCTTTGGATATTGACCGTTCTGCCGATTGAGAACAATTGTGGACCTTTTGAGCCGGATAGTTTGGATTTAGCGACGACAGAGAGTGGATTTTGACCGAACAGACAAATGAACAGTGATGGCGGACACGAGTAAACCAGACCAAGACCTGACGAGCGGAGGAGAAGACTTGCCGCCTTCGACGAAAGAAAAACCACCTGAAGACGTTGTGATCGAACAGGAAAACGAAAGCGAGAAAGATGGGAGCGCAGTAAGTACCGCCACTGGTAAAATTCAATCATTACGTAATAACAAGAAGTCAGCCAAGACTAGACTTACGAAAGCAAAGAATCAGTTGCGTGATCTACTGGAGAGTAACACAATAAATGGAACTTTGCCGAGTAAAAACGCTGTTCGGAGAGCCATTAACAAAATCAAAACGGAATTAAGTCTTATTGAAA